AAGAGCCCCCAGCCCTGTCTGAGCCCGCAGCTACCCGGCGCCCACTGGGCGCTGGGACCTTCCGCGTAGGCGGAGCCGTGGAAGACCGGCCGCCGCAGGTACGGGACAGATCGAGGCGCGGGCCCTGGGTCTGCTCTCTGGACATTTTCCATTTTCTTGAATGCTAATCTTGCTGCTTCTTTCTTCCGACTTTCACTTACTTTTAGTCTTTTAAACTGTTTTTTTTTTTTTTTTTTTTTTTTTTTTTAAATATTAGATCTTGGGCCTTTTGTTGTTGTTTGTTCTGAGACAGAGTCTCACTATGTAGCCAGGCAGGCCTCGAACTTGTGGCTATCCTCCTGCCTCAGCCTTCGGAAGGCTGGGATTACAGGCAGGTGACACCACGCCTGGCTCCCACTTTTTGATTTTTTTTTTGTCCCAATTCCTCGATTAAAGTTAAAGGTGTAGGGCTGGGGATTTAGCTCAGTGGTTCCACCACCTGCCTTGCAAGTGCAAAGACCTGAGTTCGATCCCCGGTACCCCCCCCCAAAAAAAAATCACCCTCACTTGAAAGTTAAAGGTGCTTTTTTTTCTGCCTTTCCTTTAATCACCTCAGTGCTCAGTGCTTTTTGAAAAGATACTTTCCTGTAAGCCTTGCTTCCCTCATGGGTCCCCTAATTTGCATCTATGAAAACACTACAAGAATTTTAAAAATAAAATTAGCCGGGTATGGTATTGCATGCCTGTAATCCCAGCACTCAGGAGGCTGGGACAGGAACATTGACATGAGTTGGAGGCCAGCCTGGACTACGCATTCAGTTCAAGGCCAGCCTGAGCTAAACAGTGAGACCCTGTCCAAAAAAAAAAGCAAAAATAAATAAATAATAAAAGTAAAATAAATCACCAAAATGTGAGTACCTGTAGATGCCAAACACAAAGCTAAAAATGAATAATAAGTGGTCTCACTTCAAATTCCCATGTCAGGGGAAGAAACTGAGGTGCAAAGAAGTGGAAGTGTCCTGGCCTTAGGAGGTGAGTCCCAACTCAGGCAGTTCTGCCTGCACCCAGCAGCCTCGCCGCTCCTTTGGCTGTCCTGAGGTGTGCAGATCGAAGACACAGTAGAAGGGCTCGGGACAGCTTAGTGGTAGGATCCTTGCCAAGCACCTAACACACAGGAGGCCTTGGGCTCCATCCCCAGCACCAACAAAACAGAAAACTCCGGAGTGGGAGGCTGGCCCACCCTTGGCCCAGGATTCAGAGGCATTCCCTGCACCTCCTCATTATCCCTACCCCATGCTGGCTGCTGACAGACCTCCCTTCCCTCTAGCTCCACACACTCTGGAGAGCAGACCCCTCCAAGCTGCCTCTTACCTCCAACTCTTCTTCCTGTTCTTCCTTGAACTTACTCCGAGCAGATTTCCACTCAGAGTCGTCCTCAACCTCTCATCTCCTGCTGTCAGCAGTAGGTTGTCTGACTGCTCCCCTGTGGTGACAGGCTGTCCTCACTTGGCTGGAGCAGCTGCACTCTGCTTTCCACTCCATCCCACAGCTCCTTCCCGGGGCCTCTGCTCCCGGCCTGCCTGCCCTGGAGGCCTGGGGCTCAGTCATCGGTAGCTACCCTGAAACCCATCCCTGGGGGCTTTCCTGTGGTCTCACGGTTATACAAACCACCGTTCTTCTCCACAGCCTTTCCATCTCAGCCTAAACTCTGGGGCTTCAAACCTGTTTACCTGGTCTTCACCATTTGGATCACCAACAGATCTCAAATTCAACATGTCCAAAACCACACTCTCCATCTTCTCCCATAAAGCCTGTCTGCCCCCTCCTCCCAAAAAAAAACTTTTCTCAGCACAACTCAGAGCAGACCCAGGGTCATCATCTACTGGATGAGTGGCTGGCTGTCTTTTGTGGTCTGTGCTTGGCTAATCCCAAGGTCTCGGGCTCATGCTGCTGCTCAGAAGCTCCCCTCCTAGGCTTTGAGATTTCACTTTTACAGGCTGGCCTCAGGGAGGCAGGTATATCTGTTAGGATTATGTTATCTACTGGATGTGGCTGGCTGTCTTTTGTGGTCTGTGCTTGGCTAATCCCAAGGTCTCGGGCTCATGCTGCTGCTCAGAAGCTCCCCTCCTAGGCTTTGAGATTTCACTTTTACAGGCTGGCCTCAGGGAGGCAGGTATATCTGTTAGGATTATGTTCAGCTAGCTGCACAAAACAAAAAATCCCAACATCACAGAGGCCCAAACAGATTGTCCATTTTCCCATGAAAGAGGCCCACAGAGAGACAGTCCTGCAGGCAGGAGCAGCGCCCTAACATCAGGGATCAGCTTTTCCAGCTGTCATGTTTCCTGTTTTCTCACAACACAGAATGACTGCCTGATTTCTTGCCATTGCCTCCTGAGCTCAGGCAGAACATGAAAAAGAGAAGGGTATATTGCCTTTCCCTTTCAGGGAGACTTTCCAGAAGTCTCATACCCTCCTCCTTCTCAGAGGTCAAGAACTTAGCCACGTGACCACACTCCACTGCCAGGGAGGCTGGGAAATGTCATCTTTCAGCTGAGCAGCGTTAGGCCAAACTAAGAATTGAGATTAGTGCTCAGGTCGAGATTGAAAAGCAAGCAGGAAAATCTGCCACCTGGGCTGTGCATTAAGCATAAGCCATTGGAGCAGGACTTGGTAGCAGTCCTCAGGAGACTGGCTTTAGTCATGGGAAAAGAATGTATTTAATTAACATACATTTGAGATCTTATGCAAATGAGGCATCTCTAGAGGCTGAGAACGTAGAGCTCGTTTGTGCCTGACAGAATTTCAAGCTCCTCATACACTCGGATTTCTGTCTGTAAGGATTGCTGAGGAAGAGAAGCTCTGCTCCAGCCTCACCTATCAAGTTGCCTCAAGTGGGGCATAGGCAAGTCCTGCTTAGTGGAATCAAAAATCAGTATGAGGGTCCAGGGATTTGGCTGAGAGGTTCCAGCACCCCCCTCACAAGCACAAGGACCTGAGTACAATCCCAGTACCAAATAAATTTTAAAAATCAATATGAGGACCGGGGATTTAGCTCAGAGGCACCATGCCTGCCTTGTAAGCACAAGGTCCTGAGTTCAATCCCTGGTGAGCCAGGTGTGGTGGCACACACCTGTACTCCCAGCACTCTGGGAGGCTGAGGCAGGAGAATCGCTGAGTTCGAGACATTTCCTACCAGAAGATGTGACTGTTTTTGACCAAGATCACAGGCAGGTTTTGGTGGGGATTCAGAATCCAAACATCCTTTTCCTTATGCTTACCCTCAGAGGCGCCCCACCCTCAAGAATTCTGACCTGGGAGGGCCTGTGTGATTCCTGCGCCTCCTCTTAGACTTCCCCAAACCGCCCGACTTGCTTTCCCCTGAATGTTCCAGGCTCCAAGACGAGAGGCGGCAGGACACAGCCCACCCATCCTGGGAGCAGCTCCCACCCGCACAGAACCGCCCTCTGCACACCCGCGAGGGGCAGGGAGCCTTTTCCTGATGTCCTCCAGGCGGATTCGGGAATGCTGGGGGAGGGAGCCCCGTCCCCAGCAGCTTCCTCCTGTGACTGGTGAGGGGGACAAAAAAAAAACTCTTTGACACTGTCTCTAAACACGCTTTTGCCCAGGTCTGTTCCTTTCCCTAGTGCGTGCTGGCCCCTGTCCTGCGGGTGTTACCTCCCTGATTGACGAGGGCAGGTCTCAGCAAGGCATGGCTTATCCTAAGAGGTCACAGGGGTCAGGCAAGGACAAGCCCAGCCTGGGCCTTGGGTTACCGGGAGGGTACCCACCTCCATCCCAAACCCTGCTCAACACAGGCTTTATTTTCTTATATCCTTAAAGAACGCTCTTGTGGCATCTATCTCCCAATTAAACGGGATGATGAAACTGCACTGTGACATGGTAGAAAAATAAGGCTGGAGAAAACATGTTTGTAAAAGTCAATATGGTCTTTGAGTGGCACCCCTCCCTGGTCAAGGACGTCATCTCTTAAAGTCAAACAGAGAGCAAGCACAGTTGAGGGTGCGTGGTCTTTTCTGTTTTTATCCTCGGCGTGGATTCCAGACATTTCTGGGCCCTGGCGCGGTGCCCGCTCTGGGGTAAAGGCCAGGCTGGGTGCAGAGGCCGCCCACGCCCGCGGCTCCCAGAGCTGACGGCTCGCGGTGACGTCAGGGGGCGGGCAGCGAGGGGATAGGTGGAGCTGCTCGTCTGTCACCAGAGGAAGGAGAGGCGGGCTCCTGAGGGCTTCGGAGCCCTGTGGGGAGCGATTGCTGGAACCCCTGGGATGGCGAACTGGTTGCAGTAGGCAGCGAGGGAGGAGAAGGGCCCAGGGCTGCTGGCCACCGGCCGGGTGGTGGCCGAGTGGGAGGGGCCTGTGGGCTGGCGGTGCCCTTTGCTTAAGGCCAGACTGGGTATCCTCACCTGCACAGTCTGTGCCTCTCCGGACACGGGGTGGGGATGCCCCAGAAATCATGACTGACTGATAGCAAGGAGCCTCTGGAGGCCCCTCTGAGCAGGGCGTCCCAACTTCCAGGCCGCCTCCTTCTGCGGCACAGCGTTTGCTTGAGCGTTTGCTTCTGCCCTTGTCTGCCAGCTGAGAAAAACAGCTTTGCCGGGGGAACAGAGCCTGCCTCTGGAGTAACAGAGCGGGAACCTGGGGTTGCCACACCCAGCTGCCCTCGAGGTGGGTCCAGGAGTACCTGGGGTTGTTCTACTCACACTGAACTGGAGGGGCCGTGCCCACTCTGAGGGGCAGGCGCTGCAGGCTGGTGACACCCACAGGACAAGGGGCGGGGCTAGGGCAAAGACTTACCTCCAGAGTGCTGCAAAGGGTCACTCCCCGCCCCTGGGGACAGCACAAGGTTGCAACCCTGTCCCCTTCTCCTTCCTCTCTCCCCTGTATCTCTGGCTCTGAGGGGCCTGAGGGAGGAGGCCAGAATTCTGCAGTCCCGTTCCATTGGATGGTGGGCCCATCCCCACTGCACCCCAAAGGCCCATACCCATGGAGGTCTTTTTGATTGGTTGGTTAGTGTTAGTTTCCGTTTTCCGTCCTGGGGATTGAAGCCATTGATGCCAGGGAGGCTGTACCACTGAGCTACATCCCAAGCTCTTTGTTGTTGTTGTTATTTTTGGTTTTTGAGACAGGGTCTCACTATTTAGTTGAGACTGACCTGAAACTCACTGTGTAGCCCAGGCTGGTCTCAAACTCACAGCGATCCTCCTGCCTCAGCCTCCCGAGTGCTGGGATTACAGGCATGCGCCACCATGGCTGGCTCCCAGCTCTTTATATTTATTCTTATTTTGAGACAGGGTCTTGCTAAGTTGCCCAGGCTGGGTTTGAACTCATGACCCTCCTGCCTCAGCCTCCCAGATTCCTGGAGGGACTCACTTCAGTTTGTTTGTTTGTTTGTTTGTTTGTTTGTTTTGGGTACTGGGACCTTGCACCTGTAAGGCAGATGGCAGAACCACTGAACTAAGTCCCCAGCTGTCACTGTGCCTTTTTTTAAAGCATCTAGATGCGCATGGCCCTTGTGACGACGGAACCAGGATTGCTGAGCCCCCCTACTTGCCCTGTCCTCAAGCTCCCAGTGACACCTGCACAATGTGAAAGTGCTTTCTGTCCCAGCTATCTAGCCCTGGTCCCTGGGGCCCAGTGACAGCTGCTGAGCTTTGGCTGTGTCATAGATGCCTGGCAGCTCGGCCCCTCCCAGGGAGGAGCCACAACAGCCACTGGGTGTAACACCTGTCAAGCAGTGCAGTCCTGCTCTGAGTTTGTCAGGCTGAGGAGCAAGGGACAGCAGTTGTCCCTGCCAGAGGTGCTCACTGGGTGGCCCCCCAGGTTCACTGGAGGTGGTCTGAGGGACCAGAGGCAGGAGAGGACCTGGTCACTGTCCCACTGTCCAGCCCTCCGCCTGCTGAGGACGTGGGTGGGGCGGCTCTGGTGGGAGGGGCCAGAAGGCAAACCAGCAGGCGAGGGAATGGGTGGCCTTGGACAAACCACATCTTGCACAGGGCTACACCAGGCCGTGAAATCCACAGCTCAGCATCCGTGGATCTGTCTGTTTACTGGATTAGTCTGGTGTCGTCCACACTGCAGAGCCCCTATCTTTCCCCTGCCTGATCATCCAGACCACACTGGCCTGGGAGGCATCCACAGCTAGGTTGCTGCCCGCTCTCCAGCCATGGGGTAAGCTATGTGCCTGGTGAGCTGGGGCAGGGATGGCATCCTGGTCATGCCAGCCACTCACTTACTCACTTGATTCAGATTTCCACGGCCTGTTTGTGGCACCAGGGCTTCAAGCCCATTTTTAAAAGGCCATTCCTCTGGCCTCATTCAAGAGGCTGCTGCTGGCTCTGTCATGCAGAGCCAGGGCTAGGTGTAGAGCAGCCCTATGAGGACAGCCCCATCAGGCCTCAGTCACCAGCTGTGCAGGGACCAGGGTGCAGCCAGAGGTGGTGGGGACACAGATGTCCCAGCCTTTTCCCTCCCTGCTTATCAAAGCCCACCCAGGGAGCATCCGGGTTAGGCTCTTTTGTCCTCATCTTGCCACTCACCCACGGTACATGGGGTCACCTGCATCTCCTTCCCGTAATGTGTCTCCCCTGGGCTTGCTCCTGAGGATGGGCAGGGCCTCAGGGCTGGCAGGCGCTCCCGTGGGTCTTCACTAGAAGCTGAGGTTGCTCCAAAGCCCTTACCTACCCTGAAAGCATTCCGGGACGTCTCCTGCTTGGAAATTTCATGATTCCCTCTGGGCAATGTCTTGTTTCATTTCTCTCTCTTTTGTTCCTGGAACTCCTGTGCATTTGGATCTTTTGGAATAATTCCCTAATGCTCAAAGTGCTTTTCTTCTGCTTCCCATAGCCTCATGGGTACAGGGAGGGGAAGACCAACCATGGACCTGGTAGGATTGGCTGGGATCTGCCAGGATCAGTCAAATGCTGGGGCTCTGCCCACCGTGCTTTCTAGTCTTCTCTGGCCTGCATAGCCTAGGTCTGGGGCTGCTCCCTGATAACTGACCAATGGGCAGCCTTGCCAGGCGCCAGTGCCCCAGAGGGCAGTGAATGGTGGCCCTGCACACTGCTTCTGGCCCAGAGTGATGGACAAGAGATGGGGAGAGGGCGATGGAAGAGGAACCCAAGTGGGGCGGCACTGCCTGCTGTGGCCGCCCTGAGCAGTTCAGCCAGAGCCCAGATTTGCAGGAGCCTTTGCCCGTGAGGTCCACCTCCTCCCAGGGCAGTGGGGGGCCACCTGTGGTCAGAAGAGACAGCTCTCAGGACCGCAGCCGTATCTCAAGTGTCTCCTCCCTGGTCTACCCAGGAGGGGCCTGGCAAGCCCATGTCCCCCGGCTGGCATGTTTATGGATATTCAGTGCCCTGTAAGGCCTGGACACTTAGGCCGGGATCTCAGTTACCTCATCTTTAACATGGCAAGCCCCTAGGTCCTGATCTCACTTCCCAGTGTCAGAAAAATAAATAAAATGGAGGTACTGGACCTGGGGATCTCAACCTTTTGTGATTTGGTCCCTCCTTTGCATAGTGCCTCCTGAGTAAACAGCCATATTGGTCAGCTTTCTCATTGCTGGGTCATAATACCCAGTGCCCATAACTTCAGGGAGAGGTTTGTTTGTTTATTGGTACCCGGGATGGAACTCAGGTCCTTGCACTTGCGAGGCAGGCAGCAGCACCACTGAGCTACATCCCCAGCTCTAAGGAGAGGTTTATTTGGCTCATGGTTTCAGAGCGTTCAGTCCATGGTCAGCTGCTCCAAGGCAGGAATATCACTGTGGAAAGGTATGGCAGAGCAAGGCTCTTACTTCGGGTAGCTGGGAAGCGGGGGGTGAAGAAGAGGCCAGCAAAGCACCTTCCAATGGCAGCCCCCAGGGGCCATCTCCAACCAGTCCTCACCTCCACCCAGTGAATTCTGCTGTGAACATCAGTGGGGTAATCCACTGATGAGTACAATGCCCCCCTGGTCCACTCACCTCAGAGTCTCTTACTCCAGTCAAATTGATAATTAAGTGTAGCATCATAACCACCATCCTCCCTCACCAGCCTGGGCTGGGCTCCTGGCCCTCTCCCAGGGCTCATTCCATCGGAAACATGGCTCCAGAGGCTCATGAAGCAGCCGGGTGCCTCAGGCACTGGGCTGGGGCTGAGTGGGAAAGGGAGACCGGGGTGGGGGTGAGTTCAGCAAGGCTGTCCCAGGTGTCCGTTGCCACTGAAGCAACGGAGGTCAGAGGAGACTGGTCCAGGAAGTGGGCCTCAGTTTATCTGAGCCAGGGCCCCTGCTTATACCAATCAATGCTCCTTACCACTCAAGGTCCCTGGCACCCCAGTGGGCTTCCTGTCAGTGCTGGGAAGGGTCCCTGCGCCACTTCTGCCACCAGTCAAGCTGGCACCCAGAGGATGTGGAGAACGTGACCTGCGGTGGTTTATTTCAGGGGCCTGCCTGGGAAGATGGCCTACTACAGAAAATGCATTGAGACTGTGATAGAGCATCTGGACAAATTTAACCCAGAGAAAGACAGTCCTGAGCTGTTCTTGGAGGCCGTGTCCACCTCCCTGCAGGTAGGGTCGGGGCGGCTGTGTTGATGACACACTCCACATGGCATCTCACTTCCACAACACAGCTCAGGGAGAGGCCCGGGCAAATCCCCATCACGCAGCAGAGGCCCCGTTTGTATGGGAGATGTTTTATCATGGGGGACAGTGAGAAGACACAGTGGCTGTCAGTCAGGGCACACAGCCAGCCTGTCCTCAGCCCAGGTTGGAAGAGGAAGCCCTGTACTCCTGTTCCCCCAGCTCCTGCTCCACAGGGGCACAGCTGTGTGCACAGTGGTACGCCGGGTGGCCGCAGCTACAGCTCCTCATGGGCTTCGTGTAGCTAACCAGGCTGGCCTCCAGCAGAGAAAGGAGCTGCCCACCATCCAAGCCCTGGGGAGCGAGGAGTTGCTGACACCTCCTACCTCATTCACCTGCCTGCCTACTCCTGGGAAAAATGACAGACCACCCCTTGGGGCTGGCCACCTAAGTCCTCCACTCTTGCCCTATCCCTGAGAATACTATCCTCCTCTCCCATTGCATATTTAGAGCCTGGGCCACTGGGATGTGGTGTGGAGCCTGGGAGGGGACCAATGACATTTGCTGCGGCATTACCCTCTGCCCACGGCCCTCCCTGTCACCTGATCACTGCCCCAGCTGTTCTGACCCCACACCCACACCCACTGTCCATTGGAGCAGGTGCCCAGGGAGAGGGTGCTTGCATTCCTGTACCTCAGCCATCAAGACCTTGGGGCCCAGCACTTTGGATGGGGGAGGTGAGTCCACCAGAGAAATGCTGAGGGACTGTCACATGGGCGCTCCCACCCTCCCCTGAAGGGTGCTGTCATTACAGAAGCACTCACTGGGGGACGCTTGTCTGTGACTGTGGGCTGTGGGCTGTCTGTGGGCATTGCTGCCCTTGTTTTGCTCAGTGTGGGTACAGGGCTGGCTGCAGAGTTGAGGGTCCTCCAGGGACAGTGCCTCCACTTCCGTGCCTCTTTGCCCCCCATGTCTTTCCCTGAGGCCCTAAACATGTTGGGGAAATGATGAAAAGAACTGAGGGCCAGGCCAGGGAAAAGGCCCGGTGGCTCCCCTAGCCTGGGGCCCTGCAGGAGGACATGGAGGTGCAGGTGGTGTGGCCAGAACCCCAGCTCCACCCCTTGTTTCCATGGCCGGTAGCCCAGCCCCGAGGGCCTGCCCCAGGCTGGGGCTTCAGCAGCTTTCTGCCTCTCTGCCTCAGGTCAGCCCCAGAGGCCTTGGGACCCCAATCCGGCAGCCCCAGCAAAACTGTCTAGATCCAATGAGACTCCCCGCTGACTGCTGCAGCAGCTCCTCCCCTCTCCCAAGAACCCCCAAGGCTGGGTGGTTTACAGGGCATCTCTCACCAGGGCTGGGCGTCAGGGAGCCAGGCACCAGCGCCTGGTGAGGGCTGTCATGGTGTGTGTCTCACACAGAGGAACAGACAGAAGACACTGGCTTTGGAAGCTCCTGGCTGCCAGCAGCAGCAGCCTCACCTCCACACTGGTTGTGAGGGTCAGGCAGACCTTGGAAGCCTCCTCAGAGGTGCCGGGCTGGTCCTGCCACCTTGTCGCTATATCTGTGGGTCTAGTCTTAGCCACCTCTGGGCCCTGCCACTGCCCTGGTCCTTTCCAGCTGGAGCTCCAGCCTCTCAGCAGTGGTCCTCAGGCTCTGGGGCACCTTGCCAGCTGCAGCTCCTGACCCTGCCCTCCAGCTCCATCCTGTCTCCTGAGCCCCAGATTTTTTTATTTTATTTATTTATTTATTTTTTCTTGGTACCGGGGATCAAACTCAGGACCTTGCCCTTGAGAGACAGGCAGCAGCACCGCTGAGCTAAATCCCCAGCCCATAGTTTCTCACTCTTTATGGCTGAGTAGTACTCCATTTTATTTTTAAAAACACATCTTAGCCAGATGGGGTGCACACCTGTAATCCCAGCAATTAGGAGGCTGAGGCAGGAGGATCGCTGCAACTTCACGACCAGCTGGCACTATACACAGTAAGTTCCAGAGCAGTCTGAACTACACAGTGAAACCCTATCTCAAAAAACAAACAAACAAACAAAAAGCCACATTTTCTTTGTCCAGTCTCCAGTTGGTGGGCAGTTGGGTGAGCCCCAGACTTGAAAGCATCATCGTCTCCCAGTGTCCGTGGTACCTCCTATGTGACCTATCCAGAGGCAAATGAATCCACCCGGCCCCCACATCTCCTACATGCTGCTCAGCACATGAGCCCAGCTTACCATCCGAGGTGCCATCTTGCCATCAGAGGTTGGGGCCATTACCTGCTATCCCTTCAGCTCTTCCCTAGCCCCAGGTGCCAGAAAGAATGTGCTGAAAGGTGATACAGAAGATATCCTTGACTGCTCAGGACCTCCCCGGCTCCCACTGCCACATCTTTATAGTGCCAACCCCCTCAGCCACTCTGCTCTGTCACCCTGGCCTCCTGGTACTTCTGGAACATTCCACGTGCCACCCTCCCCCCAGGCCCCCTGCTCTCTCCATCCCCCACCTGGAACACACACACACACACACACACACACACACACGCACAC